CATGGTTCTAGGGTTTATTAAATTTTTGTTTTACATCCGCTGCGCAAACCCTAGAATCGATCTCTTAGGAATAGGATTCGCTCTAGAGATCCCAGGAAACCCAACAGTGATATCAGAGCCTGGTTGCTCTGTTTTGATTTCATAGAACCCGACTACAGGATCACACACCACTAGGGATGGACTTATATGTGAAGAATCCGAAGAATGGAAACGAGATTTGACCGAAACGAGTATGAAAAGAAGTTTTCAGTGCGTTGGTCCGGAGCTGACCAAGTTTGGTCAGCCCCAGACCAAGTTTGGTCAGTCCAGGTGGTCCGGAAGTCGATTTGAGGTCTTCTGTCCAGGTCTGGTCCGGTGGACCAAGAGTTGGTCAGCCCCGGACCAGACGCTGGGTCAGGCGGACCAAGAGTGCTGGAACGGCGGACCGAAAGAGGACCAAGAGACTTGGTCCGGAGCTGACCAAAACTTGGTCAGCCGGACTAACGCTCCAGGTCAGGCGGTCCGAAGACAACTGAGTAAGCTTGGTCCTGGTCCGGCGGACCGGGATCTGGAAATTTCCTAAAATTCGGATTTAGGGTTTTCTAAGCTTATTTAAGTTTGGGATTTCTTCCAAACTTAATTAAGGCCGCCCTAAAACTTAGAGAGACATCTAAGAACCCTAGAGAATTCATTCTTTTTGTTTTTGAGCTTCTCGGGATTAGATCTGGTCTCTCGAATTACCCTTTTTTTTCAATAATCCTAGCAGATACGTTCCAAATCGTTTGGAATCCTTCTCGTCAGTATGGATACGTGTAGAGAGACTGTAACTTCAGTCCTAGGTGATTTAGAACAGGCCCCAGATCGACTTTGCTTCAAGTTTCATCGAGAACTAGGTAAGTAACGATTCCCTCGGTGATATACACGATTTTTCGGGTTTTGCAAGTTTGGTTGCGTGTGACGTTTGACTAGGTTTAGATCTTTCTTCCGCTGCATGAAACCTAGTAAACCAAACCCTAGATCGATATGATCGCATGTTAGGAACCCGTAGGAACTCCAACAGTATCCCATTCCGGTTTTCTGTTATTTTTCTTATCTTTGCCACCTTAACCAAATCGAGGGATCGTTTGGACTTAATCACTGACAGCGACGAAGTATTGTCATATACACAATTTAGCCTCGTTCATACCTCGATCCCGATCCTCAGACTCTGATTGATTTCGGTTTTCTAAAAAACATAATTGTCAGAATCTCATTTTTTGGTGGTGGCTACATTAAAACGTTGGTTTGCTTTTATTTTTCGGTTCTCCTAAATCTTGATGAGATTTTCACATAATCTTTTATCAGAATTTTTCTACCCTTTGGTACGAGTGCACCACATTTCTAAATTTCTGTTTGTTTTAATTTTCTATGTATATATATAATTGCATATCTTATATATATACATTTTTTGTATCTAAGTTTTATAATTTTATCAAAAACTTAGTAAATTTTCGTATATTCAGAAAATTAAACATAGAAACGTTCATTTCATTCACCATGCATTATTCTGATTAATACACGAAAAATTATTTGTTCTGTGTATTTGCATTCTTAATTTTCGATATTATTTCTGTATGTTTATTGATCCAAAATTTTCATACAAACATACAGAATTGCCCATATTCCATGTTATTGATCATATATGTTCTTTTCTGCATTGTATTTTAATCCGAAAAATTAATCATGCAATCATTGATTCGTATTGTAATGTGCACAAAACTGCCATATATATTTTCATGCAAAATTTTTAGTCCGAAAATATGTATATATTTTTTAAGAATTCAATATGTGATATGTCATGAAATGGCTCTGATACCACTTGATAGTATTTTATAGAAATACTATATTATATATTACGAAATATATTAATCTGGACCAATCATCATACATACCACACAAAGAATTATTCTGGAATTTAGGACATACCTGAATCCATTATGAGTTGACAAATGGTAGCGTAGATAGAGAGTCTTCTAGTCTAGAATGTAAGAAATATTATTCTGACAACAAATGGGTGCGATAAGATTTCAGTACGTTTAGTCTAGGGACCACAACCATTATTTATAGTAATAGGTTTGTGTAATTTTCAAATCCGCCCATAAAGAATTAGGAAATTACACTTCATGGTATCTGCATAATTAACCCATACACTTTTCTGTATTTGCATATCAGACCACACGTAAATTAGTGGTCATAATCTTCTACATACATTCACATTAAACAACAATAGCACCATATATTGATTATGACATTTAAACTAAATTTCTAACAATATACATTGCTTCTACATCTATTGTTCCAAATCTTGTTGGTTCAATCACGAATCCTCAAGTCCTCTATATTTTACGTGGTCTTGATTCAGACAAACTCTGAAGCAAATATATTACAATGTCTAAAAAAGAAGGACAATGTCCCTTACTAAATGACCAAGCTGTTTTTCATACCAATGCTCGATATCCTAAACCATTTTAGATCAAAACTTCTTTTGGAACTCCAATGATAACATTGCATTTTAACCATGATTTTATATAGTTTATTGGGACAAATATCAAAAATACGTTTAAAAATGTTAGAGACTTCAAGCATATCAATTTTCCAAGAAAACCACATATATTGAAAAAATAATAAAAATGTCATTATGACAAAAAAAAATCATATATTTTGAAAAAATAACAAAAAAGAATATGCAGCATTTAAATTTCGCTTGACAAACACACACGTTTCATTTTTATTTGGTATCAGAGTAGGGTAATGATTATTAAAAACGAAAAAAATTGATTTTACTAAACGATTATTATTAATATTAACCGATTAACATCAAACGGTAAATCTATTAATTTATCAAAAATTGTTCCTTTATAACCTAACAATTTGTCGAAACTAATTCATAAGGTACAGGATTCCATCAAAAGAGATTGAACTAAAAAAAACTTAATAACTAGATATTTTAATTCCTCAAGTATTGTCGGATTGGTGTTGTAATAGATAGCCAGAAATCCTCGAGATTTGAAGTCGTTGAAAACGTAGATTGTCCCCTTGAAATGGCGATGTCTCGCACCAGCTTATCAAGATCCATCCATACTTCCTAATTAATATAATTTGACTCCTATCTGAAAAGCAGACAATTCCTCTCCTGCCAGATAGGGTAAGTAACCGCATATATGAGCAGCCTCACCATTTCCCGCATTGTTGAGTTACCGCCATCAATTTGTCATTGTAGCCATCGGTTGCAACCTTCCAGAGATGAGGGAAGTGACGAGTGACATATTGAAGAAAAACATTCCCCAAAGCTGCATGATGAAGTCACATTCAAAGAACAGTGGGATTCATTGTCACTTTGGCATAGAATGCAGGTAGTTTGAACTCTTATTCCCCAACTAGATAGTCGGTCCTTGGTTGGGAGCCTATATAGAAATGATTGTAATAAGGTAAAACTGAATCTCGAAATGGCTAGCCTATATACTCCACACTAGTTTCGACCGTGGGACCAAAGAAGCTCTAGGTCTTAGCCACTGCCAAGTTGATTTGCGTGAACTGATGGCTGTAGGAGTTGTCAGAAGTCATCCATTCAAACTTATCCTATCCAGTCCCGTCCGGCGGAAGAGGTATCAAGGAAATTCTTGTTAAGATCGCCTGAATACTCGTTGATCTAGCCCTGGGAAAGTACCATTCTCATTCCTAACAGTTACCCTTACTTTCTCATGTAGCGGTACCTTCAATAATCTTGGACCATTTGCGCCTGTAAGTTCGATTAAAGGACCTAACTCTGTCCAGTTTTCATACCAAAAGTCAACATCCATCCCATCTTCCTAGTGTACATTTAATTAACTTCTTTGCGTCTTACCTAAACTCAAGTAATTTCTAAAGGTGACAAGAATGCTTGTATAACGAGAGAACCCCAAAAACCCTTTCTTTCTCAAGATATTTTATTTCAGCCAAGCCATCCATAAGGAACCATATGCGGAGTAGCCTACTTGCGAGTTTGGGATTGGCCTATCGAAGTCCGACTACTTTAGTTCGGAAGCCATGGTCAATGTCTCTATGGAGTGAAGCAAGATTCTTAAATCTAGAGTCATGAATTCTCGAGTTCCTTTCGTTCCACATAGCGTAGATCACGATTTGTCACGTAATACGTACTCTCCAAAATCTGATTTTGCAATCCCAATGGCCTAATAAAAAACTTGGACATTTTCCAAATTAAGGTAGTCGACATGTGCCCGAACCTCCCAGTGCATATATATATATATATATTGTATGACATTAATTTCACGTAAACTATAGTGTCTATAAGATATATTATACATTTAATTACAGCAGAAAATACGATATTTTTGTTA